CCTCGGCCTCCCAAAGTGCTGGGATTACAGGCGTGAACCACCGCGTCCGGCCATATCTTTATTTTTTATTTATTATTATTTTTTTGAGATGGAATCTTGCTCTGTCACTCAGGCTGGAGTGCAGTGATGTGATCTCGGCTCACTGCAACCTCCGCCTCCCAGGTTCAAGCAATTCTCTGCCTCAGCCTCCTGAGTAGCTGGGATTACAGGCGTCTGCTACCACGCCCAGCTAAGTTTTGTATTTTTAGTAGAGATGGGGTTTCACCATCTTGGCCAGGCTAGTCTTGAACTCCTGACCTCGTGATCCACCGGCCTCGGTCTTCCAAAGTGCTGGGATTACAGGCGTGAGCCACTGTGCTCGGCTCCAATATATCATTTTTAAAAAATTTATTGTGCATCTAGGCCAGGCGCAAATTTCCTTGAAGGTTTCACTGAGATACCACCTGCACTGCCCATTGTGTGGACTCCCATTTTCAAACAGGTATGGCTGCTACAGAGGCACCTTACACCTTGCAGTGAGTGGCTTGTTGAGTTTGCACTGATGTGATAAGTCAGCACTGGCTCTGAATGTCTCTTTGTGTTGAGTTCCTCGGCTATTTATTCTCATTTGAAACCTGGGTTTTGTTATTGGTTCCCATATATTTGGCACCCTAGGTGGAATCAGGCCATTCCCTTTCCCCCTTTTTGTTCTCTTTTGTGTGTGTTTGTGTTGTGCTGTTTAAAAGTGGTTTGTCCTAAGAAGGAGGATGACAAGGTTGGACACAGGCATAGTTCCTAAAAGCCTATTCAAGCTCACTCACAGTCCAGTGAGTTTGTGGTTTTCCCTGAACTCATGTCCATGTGGACAAACTTCTTTGTGGGTCACCTATAACACCACCTCAGGTTCTTTTTCCATCTTGAGTTTTTGTCCTGAGAGCTTCGTTTTGGTCCACAGGGAGTACTGTCTCTGCTTTTCTGCCTACTGGGGGGACACAGATTGTCTAGTCTGTGTTAGGAGGTGGCCAGCTGTAAGACTGGGGACCTGAGACAGAAAATGCACAAGAATTATACTCCCACTGACAGTCAACAGCTCTTATGGGGTCTTCTAAGTCTAAACACCCTCCTCATCTAGAAAAACTGCTTCTTCTTTGTACAACACTAACTCATGCACCTACCTTCCTAATGGCATGCCTCCAAGGATGATTTGGGCCTTTAGTGGCTACTCTGGGGAACATTTGGCTTGAACAAAATTGTTCATTTGACATGGACCTTAGGAAAGCAGGAATAAGACTTCTCAGGATCAATGGGGCTGCAGTTTTTTATTGGTAGGCAGAGGTCTCCAAATGAAATTCTGATCAAAAATTGCTTCATTAAAAGATTTTTTGCCCAAAACCAATGGGAAACTTGATAGACGTAAGCAACAACAAACTAGACTCATTTCCTTAGTAAATGCTTCTTTTTCTTGTCCTCCAGTTGCCTCCCGGCATCCAGTTCTCTCTTTTCCTCCTTATTCTTCTATTAGGTTGGTGCAAGAGTAATTGTGGTTTTTGCCATTACTTTCAATAACCTCTCTCCTGTACTTCAGTGAACTCCTCACTTCTCTTCCCCTTGTTCAGACCCCTTCCCTTTGCTTAATAATTCTCCTAAAACTCCAAAATTCCAGTTGCCTTTGAATATCCATTTCTCTTATTAAACCAGGTATGTGGACATCTGTAGAATTTAAACCTTTGATCTGAGCTGAATTAAGACTTATACTTAAAGGTTTCCCTAAACCTAGACAAGACCAGCAAAAAAATCATAAAAGAATTTAGAATTCTTCTGGGTATATATGACCCAGGGTTACCGAACATCTATCAACTTGTACACATGTTGGTCAGAAACTCAGGTGCTAAATCCTGGAGGGAAAAAGCTGATTGGACGGACTCGGAAAGGGACACACAGTGTCCCTCTTTCCACAGTAAATCTGAAAGTTTAAAAAAAAAAAATGTCCAAAAAGTAAGGCAAAGTCTCCTAAAAGCCATACCCAAAACATTTCTAATAAAAATCCATTGGACCATGCAAACAAAAAAACAAAACTAACAGACTTTTTTAGGATAGGTTAGAAAGTACCTTCCAACACATCAGTAAAAGAAGGCGGTAAAAAGCAGCCTTTCATCTCATTTTGTCAATGGAGTTAAACATGAAATTGGAGACTTCATTCTAAAACAGAAATTAGAATGGAAAACAGCTGCTTTATCTGAATGGTAACACCTGGCAGAACATTTTGAAAGGGCTTTACAACCAAAATCAGACAGGATTCAAAATAAACTTGTGGCCCGCTTCCCAGTCAACCACCTGTTGACAAGGACACTTAACAAATCTTGTAAACAGAACCAAGACAAATAAAAATCCATCAGTTCAAATCAATGAGGGTGCTCAGAGGAAGGAGAAACTACCCAATACTCTGCCTTTCTCTAAACACTCAAGGTGATTTAACTATAAATACAGGTGGTCAACCTCATCAATTTCTGGTAAACATGGTGCTACTCTTTCTATGTTAAACCCTGTCCCTTTTGTTCAATCTCTTCTTCTGAGTAAACAGATCACACAGGTGGTAGGTATTTCAAATAACCCACATATAACCCACATATTTATTCCATCTCCCAGCCCTTAACTGTAACCCTTGGGCCCTGACTGAAAAAACTTTCCTTCCTGCTCTTTGATACCATGACTACAAATTTAACAGAGACTTAATTTGCAAATGGAATTGTAATATTTATTGATGTTCCAGAGACGTCTCTATACATAATCAAGTTGCACCTGCTTTGAATATACCTTTGCTTTCTCTATAATATGTGATGCATACTCGAAATAAATATCTTGACATCAAACCTGATAGTCTAAGGGGCTAAAAATTCCACTTACATAGGACACATAATTGGAGCAGCAAAATGATAAGCAGAACTTACTAAATTCAGACAGATCCTGTGAAACCATTACCCAGACTTCCCCAATATCCACTGAAGTCAGAAGCAAAGGAAGGGCTCGAACCTATGGTTGAAGGTCTTATATCCAAATGTCCGTTCGTATCCCCTTGTAACACTCCTGCCCTGCCAGCAAAGAAACCAAGTGGATGAAGATACTGATTTAAGACTTTAGAACCATCAAGAAAATTGTATTTTTTTTCCCCAGTAGTACCTAACTCTCACACCATCTTTCATCAATTCTACCTGAAGTCACTTGCTTTACTGTAGTAGAAATTTTCTCTGCCTTTTTCAGTGCACCTCTAGACAACGACAGTCAATACTTTTCTGCCCTTGTCTTGGGGAGGACAATGGTATAACTGGACAGTCATGCTCCAGAGATTCAGTGAAGACCCTGTTTTTGTCCAGGTGCTCAACCAAGAGTTAAAAGATATAAATTTCCCTTGTGATTCAGTTCTGATACAATATAAAAATGATCTCCTACTTTGTTCAGAGAACAAAGAAGCCTGTTAAAAGGATTCCATTTACTTGCTCTCAGTCTTAGCAAAAAAGGGACATAAAATTTTTAAAGCTAAATTATAGTTTTACCAAAACACAATTCATTGTTTTGGGTAAACCTGTCTAAGGAGGGATAAGTATTTTCTCCTGATAGACTAAAGATTGTCCAAAGTTATTGTCAAACCCTCACAAAATGGCAGAAGAGAGGATTTCTAGGTTTACCTAGTATATTGCAGACAACAGGTGCCAAAGTTTTCTGAAATTGAAGCACCCCTTTATGGATGGACTAGGTCTTCAATGAGGGATTCTCTCCTTTGAAAGTCCAAACATAAAGACCTCCTGGAACCTGAAATAAGTTCTTCAACAGCATCCTTCCCAAAGCACCCCAACTATAGAAAGCCATTTTGTCTATTTGTGCAAGAGAGATCTGGGCAAGCCCTTGGGACTTTAACTCCATGGAAACCATTAAAACCCCATTATTTACCATAGCCTCACTCTTGACCCGTTTCAAAGACTTATTTCTCTTGTTTTAAGGCATTCGCTGTCACTGCAAAACTAGATAATGCTTCTGCCAAACTGGCTCTAGGCTCTCTCCCTGCTTGACCTCATGGTTTCTCATGCAGCGCAGACGTTACTTTTTTATTTTTGAGATGGAGCCTTGCTCTGTCACCCAGGCTGGAGTGCAGTGGCACAATCTCGGCTCACTGCAACCTCTGCCTCCGAGGTTCAAGTGAGTCTCCTACCTCAACTCCTGAGTAGCTGGGACTATAGATGCACACCACCACACCCTGCTAATTTTTGTACTTTTAGTGGAGACAGGGTTTTACCATGTTGTCAGGCTGGTCTCAAAGTCCCGACCTCAGGTGATCCTCCCACCTCAGACTCCGAAACTGTTGGGATTACAGGCGTGAGCCACTGTGCCCAGCCTGCACAGACATTAGTATTGACTGAGAACACATAACACTTGTCAGCCAGCACCGCTTGTGAGTTTCTGTTACTCTCTTCCTCTCACATTACTATTCATCAGAAACACTCAGAATCCTGCTTCTCTCCTGCCCCTACCAGAGGAAGGGGATCCACGATAATTTAACCATGATTATCTTATCATGGTTAAATAACTTTCTGTATCTGGCTGAGATTAATTGAGGATTAATTAGTCCTCTCATTGAGGATGCTGACCTAATATTATTTGTTGATGTATTATAACTCAAAACTGAAACTGGAAGTTATCAAGCAGGATATGTTATCTCTAGTTTAAGTTCTTCTTTTCTAAAAAAAAAAAAAAATCCAATTCTCTTTATTTATTAATATTATTTTAACCTTAATTTTAGTTTCAGGGGTACATGTGCCAGTTTTATAGGTAAATTGTGTGTTGCAGGGATTTGGTGTACAAAGTATTTCCTCACTCAAGTAATAAGCTTAGTATCCAATAGGTAGTTTTACGATCCTTACCTTCCTCCCAACCTCCACCCTCAAGTAGGCCCCCCCATGTCTGTTGTTCCCTTCTTTGTGTACATATGTACTTGTTGTTTAGCTCCCACTTATAAGTGAGAACATCCAGTATTTGGTTTTCTCTTCCTGTGTTAGTTTGCTTAGGATCATGGCCTTCAGCTCCATCCATGTTCCCGCAAAAGACATAATTTCATCCTTTTTTATGGCTGCATAGTATTCCATGGTGTATATGTACCACATTTTCTTTATCCAGTCTACTGTTAATGGGTATTTAGGTCCTGTTCTAACGGTTCCATCTTTCTGTTTTCCAGGAGAACATTTCAGGATAGGAATAGGCCAAGTCCTGAGAAGATGAGTCTTAGGATTGATTTGGATACAAACTTTCCTGAGTGTGTTGTAGATGCAGGAAAAGTCACCCTTGGGACTCAGCAGAGGCAGGAGATGGACCCTCGCCTGCGGGAGAAACAGAATGAAATCATCCTGCAGGCAGTGTGTGCTCTGCTGAATTCTGGTGGGGGCGTAATCAAGGCTGAGATTGAAAACAAAGGCTACAATTATGAGACTCATGGATTAGGATTGGATGTGCCTCCAATTTTCAGAAGATATTTAGATGCAATGCAGAAGGAAAACTACTTTTTGATGTTTGTGAAATCATGGGACATGGAGGATGGCGTGCCACTTGCTACCTTATGCTCCAATTTGTACCACAGACAGAGAACATCCACTGATATCATGGATTCTCAGGAAGCTCTGGCATTCCTCAAAAGGAGGACTCAGACTCCTATGAATATTAATGTTTCCAATTCATTAAGTCCACAGGCAGCTCAGGGTAGTTTACAACATGAAGGCAACATAAATGCCTCAGCTGCTGCTTTATTTGATAGAAAGCGGCTTCAGTACCTGGAAAAACTCAACTTTCCTGAGTCTACACATGTTGAATTTGTGATGTTCTCGACAGACGTGTCACACTGTGTTAAAGACAGACTTCCGAAGTGTGTTTCTGCATTTGCAAATACTGAAGGAGGATGTGTATTTTTTGGTGTGCACGATGCGACTTGTCAAGTGATTGGATGTGAAAAAGAGAAAATAGACCTTACCAGCTTGAGGACTTCTATTGATAGCTGTATTAAGAAGTTACCTGTCCATCATTTCTGCACACAGAGGCCTGAGATACAATATGTCGTTAACTTTCTTGAAGTACATGATAAGGGGGCTCTCCATGGATATGTCTGTGCAATCAAGGTGGAGCGATTCTGCTGTGCAGTGTTTGCCAAAGTGCCCAGTTCCTGGCAGGTGAAAGACAACCGTGTGAGACAGTTGCTCACAAGAGAATGGACTGCTTGGATGATGAAAGCCGACCCAGGTCAGGGAGCAAGATCAACAATGGTTGTAATGTTTGCTGGCAGCAGGGCAGGGCGGGGCAGAGAGGAAAGAGAGGTATGGTTTTCCTTGGAATCTGGGGAAAGATTTAGTCTCTGAGTTGCAAATATCTGACTTATTAATTCCTGTAGATGCAGTTCATGGATTATTGCCCCTTCCTTTCTTTTACCATCTTAAATAGCCTTTATTCAACAGATGCCCTGGCTAGTAGCCCCATTAGAGGCTGGTGCAGGAGGCTGTTTGACCTAGTTATTTCAATTTTCACATCTTATGTTCATATTCAAGCCTCTTCTCTTATTTTTCAATTATGAGCTTGCATTTAAGTATTTAGGAAATTTCTTTTTTTCACATGTACAGATGTGTCCCCTTTAACTTGCTGTCATTTTCCTCTGAATTTCACTTCTTAAATATTCTCCCTTTCTCACTGCCCACTTCCATTTTTTGAACCAAAACATGACCAAATCATGGCTTTCCCTCTCCTTTTTCACTTTTCCTTTGGGGAGCCAGTACGTGATAAGCCAAAGAAGACAGTTGGTGACGTGCATCCACCCTGGAAAAGGAAAGCCTGTGATAAAATTAAACAAGAGAAAACCAATGGTAACTTCTTCAACAGCCCAAAAAAAGTCCCCTTCAGAATTTGCTGAGATATCTATATCCTTTGGCCTTTGCATCTTCTCGTCATATTTCTTTAAAAAATAGCATTGTAAAAATATAAAAATAGGCTGGGTGTGGTGGCTCACACCTATAACCCCAGCACTTTGGGAGGCAGAGACCTGCCTGAGGTCAGGAGTTCAAGACCAGCCTGGCCAAAATAGTGAAACTCTTTCTCTACCTAAAATACAAAAAATTAGCTGAGTGTGTTGCAATGAGCTGAGATCATGCCACTGCACTCCAGCCTGGGCAACAGAGTGAGACTGTCTCAAAAAAATAAATAAAAATAGTTTTGTTTTGACATAATAAAATTTAAAAGTGCTGGTTCATGCTAGGTTATTTTTTTTCTTCAAAAACCTCAGTAGGCTTTCCTGAGCTGAACTGAGATGTGAAGGCAAGTATCTGTGGGCCGTGGCTTGATCTGTAAGACTAGGTGAAAGATTTCGCAGTACCGCTCAGCTATAAGTTGGGGTCTGCCGTTTTGCATATTGAATCCTTGGTTCTTGTTTCCTAAGATCTTTCCAGGTGTCCTGAGATGGTCCTTGCGCTGAGTTTGTCATCTGCCACACCCCTCAGCAACACCGTGTGCATTCATAAGAATCTGGAAGGTCTGAAAGAGCAGCAGAAACGCTACTTTCCAGGTAATTAGCCATCTCTGGTTGCTTTGGAATATGCTGATTATTCATTCATATAAAAAATGGACTCCTACTTTATATTATATACAGGATCAATTCCAGAGGCTTAAGGACTTAAATATGAGAACCAAACCTTTAAAACTTTTAGTAGAAAATGTATATAAATAATTATGCCATTGGGGTAGGAAAGGATTTCCTAAACCAGACGCAAAAGGATCAAACTTAAACAAAAAGATTGATAAATTTCACTACATTAAAATTAAGAACTGTTCCTCAAAATATACCTTAAAGAAAGTGAAAAGACTGGGCACAGTGCTCATATGTGTAATTCCAGCACTTTGGGAGGGTGAGGTGTGGAGCTGCTTAAGTCCAGAGGTTTGAGGCAAGCCTGGGCAACATAGCAAGACTCATCGACAAAGGGGCAGCACTCTCCTACACCCAGCTAAATGTTTGACTTTTGTAGAGACAGAGTCTTCCTGTGTTGCCCAGGTTGGTTTCAAACTCCTGGATTCAAGCAATCCTTCCACCTGAGCTTCCCGAAGTGCTGGGGTTACAGGCATAAGCCACCACTCCCAGCTACCAGTCTTTTTTTTTTTTTTTTTTGAGATGGAGTTTCGCTCTTGTTGCCCAGGCTGGAGTGCAATGGTGTAACCTTGGCTCATTGCAACCTCTGCCTCCCAGGTTCAAGTGATTCTCCTGCCTTAGCCTCCTGGGTAGCTGGGATCAGAGGTGTACCCACCACGCCCAGCTAATTTTTTGTATTTTTAGTAGGGATGGGGTTTTGCCATGTTGGCCAAGCTGGTCTTGAACTGCCTCAGCCTCCCAAAGAGTTGGGATTACGGGCGTGAACCACCACATCCAGACCAGTCATTTTTTTAATGGACTTTTAGATGATGTCTAATTTTTTCCTTTTAAAACAATGCTGCAATATACATCTTCCTACACCTCCTACCTGAGGTGTTCTTTAAGGATAAATTCCAAGTAGTAATAATTGCTTGTAAATTTAGATGCATATTGCCAGATTGTAATCCAAAACATATACCCAAATACACTTTTACCAACGTGGTATTATCATGTCATTTCTTTTCTGGAAGAAGCTTAGAATCGTTTTATCCTACCAAAAAGAAAAAAAGATGGCTGGGTGAGGTGGCTCACACTACAATCTCAGCACTCTAAGAGACTGAGGTGGGAGGATCACTTGTGCCTAGGAGTTTAAGACCAGCCTGGCAACATGCTGAAACCCTGTCTCAAAAAAAAAAAAATTAAAAAATTAGTTGGATATGGTGGCGTGCACTTGTAGTCCCAGCTACCTAGAAAGCTGAGGTGAGAGAATTACCTGAGCTCAGGAAGTAGGGGCTGCAGTGAGCTATGATTGTACCATTGTACTCCAGCTTAGGTGACAGAGCAAGACCCCATCTAACAATAACAACAAAAAAGTCTCCTTCATGCTGTCCCTTTTTAGTCAAACTCTCCCCAAATCCCTAACCTCTGGCATCCATTGATCTGTTGCCTGTACCTACAGCTGTGCTTTACAGAATGTCGTGTAAGTGAAACCACATAGTACGTAATCTTGCCAGGTGTTAAGATGGCACCCTCATGCCTTCCTCCCCATCCTTGTTTCCACTGCTTTGCCTCTCACTTTGGTTGTCAGCAACACAAACTGCTTGGAGTGACCTGAATGGACTTTGGTTTTTTTTTTTTTTTNAGTCCTGGTTGGCTGCCTTCTTGGCAGAGTTCTCATTTCTCAACTTGGTTTCATTGTGTTTTTTTCAACAGACAGGATCTCGCTCTGTTCCCCAGGCTAGAGTGCAGTGGTGTGACCTCAGCTCACTGCAACCTCAGCCTCCTGGGTTCAAGCAATTCTCGTGCCTCAGCCCCCCGAGTAGCTGGGATTACAGGCACACACCACCATGCCTGGCTAATTTTTGTATTATGTGTAGAGATGGGATTTCACCATGTTGGCCAGGCTGATCTTAAACTCCTGGGCTTAAGTGATCCGCCCGCTTCGGCCTCCCAGAGTGCTGGGATTACAGGCGTGAGCCACCATGCCTGGCTTCCTTGCTATTTCTTGTCCCTGAGTGTTACTCATGTGTCCTCTTTTGACTGTCTCTCTATTCTCCTCAACTCCCTAATTCCAAGTCGTCCTTTAAAAACAACTCAGGGTTGAGTGTGGTGGCTCACACCTGTAATCCCAGCACTTTGGGAGGCTGAAGAGAGAGAATCACTTGAGGCCAGGAGTTCAAGACCAGCCTGGCCAACATGGTGAAACCCCATCTCTACAAATAATACAAAACTTAGCCGGGTGTGGTGGCGCATGCCTGTAGTCCCAGCTACTCGAAAGGCTAAGGCAGGAGAATCACTTGAGCCCAGAAGACGGAGGTTGCAGTAAGCTGAGATGGCGCCACTGTTCTCCTGCCTGCGAAACAGAGCAAAACTGTCTCATAAAAACAAAAACAACAACAACAAAAACAAGAATCAGCTCAGGTGTTCCCTTCTTCATAAAGACTTTTATATTTTCTTCTTTCCTAAACTGTACCTTTCCTTGGTATTCACATAATACTTTGTGCCCTTCTCTCTGGTTGTATGGACCATTTTGTACCATAATTATTATCTCTGTTTATACCAGCTAATAAATGCTCCAAAAAATAAGAATTGTTTATCTTTTTATTACTAATGTATAACCTATTGTAGATACATGATAGGGTCCCGATGTTGATTGAATCTTCTACGTATAATGATGATTACTAGTTTGTCTGAGGATTTTCTAATTTATTCCAATTCTTTCCCTGTCTAGTATTTTCAGACAGAGTGGTGTATACTCCAGAAAGCCTCTACAGGGAGCTCTTCTCACAACATAAAGGACTCAGAGACTTAATAAATACAGAAATGCGCCCTTTTTCTCAAGGAATATTGATTTTTTCTCGAAGTTGGGCTGTGGACTTAGGTCTGAAAGAGAAGCAGGGGGTCATCTGTGATGCTCTTCTAATTTCCCAGAACAACACCCCTATTCTCTATACCATCTTCAACGAGTGGGATGCAGGGTGCAAGGGCTATTCTATGATAGTTGCCTATTCTTTGAAGCAGAGGCTGGTGAACATAGGTGGTTACACTGGGAGATTATGCATCACTCCCTTGGTCTGTGTGCTGAATTCTGATAGAAGCTCACAAGGCGTTTACAGTTCATATTTACAAATTTACCCCGAATCCTATAACGTCATGAAACCCTTGCACATGGAAGCCCTGTTACAGTCCCTCGTGATAGTCTTGCTTGGGTTCAAATCCTTCTTAAGTGAAGAGTTGGGCTCTGAGGTTTTGAACCTACTGACAGATAAACAGTATCAATTGCTTTCAAAGAACCTTCGCAAGGCCAGAGAGTTGTTTGTTCATGGCTTACCTGGATCAGGGAAGACTATCTTGGCTCTTAGGATCATGGAGAAGATCAAGAATGTGTTTCGCTGTGAACCGGATAACATTCTCTACATCTGTGAAAACCAGCCCCTGAGGAAGTTGGTGAGGTATGTTGCCTGTCTTTTCTTGAGTGACTGTGGCTGGTGTGGCTTTCAGTTTACTTGCTAAAATTCATATGTATTTACCATGCCCAGAGGAGTTAAGAGTAGAATTGGCTTTGTTTGTTTCATCAGGGAAAACCTGATTGTGTTTCTTACAGTTGCAGCACGAAAAAGATCTGCCAGGCAGTGACCCGGAAAACCTTCATGAAAAACGGCTTTGAACACATCCAGCACATTGTCATTGATGAAGCTCAGAATTTCCGCACTGAAGATGGGGACTGGTATTCAAAGGCAAAGTTCATCACTCAGACAGCAAGGGATGGCCCAGGAATTCTCTGGATCTTTCTGGACTACTTTCAGACCAATCACTTGAGTTGCAGTGGCCTCCCCCCTCCCTCAGACCAGTTTCCAAGAGAAGAGATCACCAGAGTGGTCCGCAATGCAGTTCCAATTGCCAATTACCTACAACATGTAATGCAGGAAGTCAAAGAAAATCCTCCACCTAACCTGCCCCCTGGGGCCCTGGTGATGTACCACGAACCTAAATGGGCTGAAGGTGTCCCAGGCAACTTAGAGATTATTGCAGACTTGAGCTTGGAGGAGATACTGATTTACGTAGCAGAGAAGTGCCGTTTTCTCTTGAGGAATGGTTATTTTCCCAAGGATATTGCTGTGCTTTTCAGCAAAGCAGGTGAAGTGGAAAAATATAAAGACAAGCTTCTAACAGCAATGAGGAAGAGGAAAATGTCTCAGCTCAATGAGGAATCTGATCCGTTACTGCAGATCGGGGACGCGTCTGATGTTCTGGCCGATCACATTGTGTTGGACAATATCCGTCGCTTTTCAGGCCTGGAAAGAAACATCGTGTTTGGAATCAATCCAGGAGTAGCCCAGCCGGCTGGGGTCTACAATCTTCTGCTCTGTTTGGCTTCTAGGGCAAAAAGACATCTGTACATTCTGAAGGCTTCTATGTGATAGGAGAACCCCAGGCTAAGAAACAAGTAAGTGGTTCTCATCTCTAATCAAATCATTTGATCCAAACATGTAAGCACACACTCACTTATTAAGCCACGTACTCTTCTAGGTGCTGGGGATTGAGGACGAATCAATGTAAGGTTTCTCCTTTAGGGCAGAGACAGACCACTGACAAGTACACAGATAGACAAGGGGTTTCCCATAGTAATAAGGAATATCAGCAATTAGAGGCCCCTGAGACTCAGAGATGTGTGTGTGTGTGTGTGTGTGTGTGTGTGTGTGTGTGTAGGCAGATGGAGGGATGCGGTGGTTATTTTGGGTGGTCAGGGAAGTGCTCAGGGAGGGAAGAAAGTGTCATGAAAAGACCTGAGTGTGCCAGGCAGACTCAGATGTCTTTGTTGTTTTTAACATGGCCACGTGCGGAAACGCTTGAATGGGATGTGCAAGCAGAATGTGAAGGATGGAGCGGTGGCTCATCTGGCCTTGTAGGGGCCAGGAACAGGCAAGACATGTTTTGAAATGTAAGATCACGGGCTGTTTTTCGCAAGACCACATGATGTTACTTTATTCTTTTCTGCTTTTGCTTTTAATGGCATTAGATGGTTTTTGATCACTATATTTTAAGATACTTTTTGTATGCCTTTTGGTTATCTGGAATCTGCTCCTTAGCTCTGCTTTTTTATCCTTATGGAGCATCGTAGGTTACTACATGAAGGGAAGACTGCCACAGCCCCCCAGGGAGGCACACTATGTTTTATTGATTGATTTTAAGATGATACAGGGCCTAGGAGGACGAATGTATTGGACTTGAAGGTTACATTTTGTTTTTTCATTTAATTTAATAACCAACAAAATGACAAAATCAGTTTAATATCGTACTTCTCCTAAGTCTTCAGGATTTTAGCTAGTCTTTCAAAAGCCATTGCTACAAAAGTGCAAATTTTTCATTTCCTGTGGGTCTCTAGAAATTCTCTAAATATTTAAAGCCAACAAATCCATCTTTTCTGAGAGACAAAAACTAAAAAATTCAAAGAGTTAATTCTCTATTCAAAACAGCAAGACCCTGCTATTTCCCAAGAATCAAGAAATTTAAAATTGTAAGAAGTATGAACTTGAGGCTAGAATTGGTTTATTTCTGGCAGCTACCGACAATATTAAGAACTTTACTCTTTAAGACAATTTCACAGGAAAGCATGAAATTAATCTATTGTAAAATGTTTTTATGACTAACTTGGATTATACTGCAAATCACTAGTAAGTAGAGATATATTTAAGATAAAATGATTAATATAACAAGTGGTAATTCTGAATAAAGATCTGAATAAATCCAGATTACAGACTCTCCCTTTACCAATATGTAAAAGAATGCACAAAATTAGTAAAAATATAGCCCAAAATTTACTGGCAACAGAGAAGCAAAGAATGGAGTTTTAACCTTACACTATAAACATCTAACAGATATGTATGAAAATTTTAAAAATAGAATAGGTTGGGCACGGTGGCTCATGCTTATAATTCCAAGACTTTAGGAGGCCAAGGTGGGAGGATTATTTGAGCCCAGGAGTTCAAAACCAGCTTGGGCAACATAGTGAGACCCTGTCTCTCAAAAATAAATAAATAAATTTAGCTGGGAATGATGGTGAACACCTGGAGTCCCATCTACTTAGAAGGCTGAGGCAGGAAGATCACTTGAGCTCAGGAGTCTGAGGTTACAGTGAGCTGTGATCCTGCCAGCGCACTCCAGCCTGGGTGACAGAGCAAGCCCCTGTCTCTAAAAAATAAATAAATAAAATAAAAAATAGAATTTAAAAGTTTTACATAAAGGCATAGCTACTATCTCATCTGCCCAGTGTAGTCATGAATAGATGTCACATAAAGAAAAGAAAACCAGAATTCTTGTTAATATGACCAATTTGAAGGGTGGTGGCGGAGGTATTGAGCAGGCAGCTCAGGGAAACACCAGGTAGACACTATAGCATAGAATTCCCTGACTGTCCCCAAGAACTCTCTGTAGATACAGGAGGGATTTTCCAGAATTTCACATGAATTCAACAAAGGGGTCTGTGTCTTATTCCTGCATGCTTTGCCTCCTTCATGGAATTCAGCAGATATAATGGAATTTCCTAGGCAGCAATCAAGAGTAGAAACCAGGTTAACAGCGAGGGCCTCATCTCACACCAGATCAGATCAGGCTTCAGAAAAGTAGATGGAAGACACTACCCAGGCCTCCAGCTATACAATGGAGAGGAAGCCAAACAAGTGTGTTTCTCTAAGAAAGTTGTCAAGGAGAGCCCTTCTATGCCATCTTAAAGTAAAAAGAAAGACTCTACCCAGCGACCCTCATTAAGCATTAGAAAGATAAGTCGTCTGATCATTAGGCAGAAAGACAACAGGGAAAAAATGTAAAAAATAAACATGGCATAAACCAGATGAAGAATCCATCCTGAAAGGATGTATAACTCAGGGGACAAAAGACAACTCACCATAGGTCGGGCGCCGTGGCACACTTTGGGAGCCTCCCAGCACTTTGGGAGGCCAAGGCAGTTGTATCACCTGAAGTCAGGAGTTTGTGACCAGCCTGGCCAACATGGTGAAACCCTGTCTCTACTAAAAATGCAAAAATTAGCTGGGTGTGATAGTGCACACCTGTAATACCAGCTACTTGGGAGGCTGAGGCATGAGAATTGCTTGAACTCAGGAGGCAGAAGTTATGGTGAGCCAAGATCGCACCATTGCACTCCAGCCTGGGTGACAGAGTGAGACCCTGTCTCAAAAAACAAACAAAATCTCCCCATAGATGTCCATGCCATAGAAGAATTTGAGAAGTCTATAAATTCAATAAAGCAAGAGTTGAAAGCCTGTCCCACTACACCCAAGTTTTTCCTCTCTGAATTGCAGACTAGAAACTCTAGGGTACTAAGCTGGGGCAGTCACAGAGGTGACCTCATCTGTTTCCCACATCCTACATTACGACAGGGATCAGGGATCAGTATCCTTCACTGACTGATTTCCAATATCTTGAGGCCTATTGTTTCATCTATTTTGTCTGATTTTGCAGTTGTTTTAGAAGGGAAGATAAATATGGTCCCGGTTCCTCTATCTTGACCACAAGTGTCTAAGAAGACAGTGAAGCAATATGTGTATAGTTCTTAAGGAAATAAATTCTGACCTAAAAATATTAAACTTAGTCAAAATATTATTCTAGTACAAAGGCAGCACATGGGTATTTTTGAACATAAAAGAGTCCTAGAAATACAGGACTCATGAATCATCCTTTAAGAAAAGTTACGCAGTAAGGAAATCTAGATAAGCAAAAATATGTGAAAATAAAATATTATTATAATTGGACCAAAATGAAGCTTAAATCCATTCACGTATATATATAATTAAGATATGTAGGAATAATAATTACGGAAAAGAATGTTACAAACCTTCACAAGGTAAAGATATTTTTATATCAGGTAGATTCTTCTGTTTCAATCTATAAAACCAGGGTTTAGATCATTAAAAAAAACAAACAAAAGTAATTTATTGAAATCATTAGAGAGGACCTGATAGAATAAAAGGACAAACTGACCAAATAGGCTTTAGAGGGGAGAGGTGCCTGAGAAGCTACAAGGACCTAGCCGGCAGGGGTGACTTGACCATAGTCATGTTTTTTACTTGATTTAAGAAGGGTTAAATTACAGTGAGAGACTTTCACTTGCCTAGTTTGCATACTCAACTCTTCTCTAGCATAGGGCAGGTTCCTTGGTTGAATAATTTCCACAAAACATGATGTAAAGTGGAAAGATCACTTCCCCCAGAGAATATCAGTTACCAAAATAGAATGAAAGGATGTTGGGTAGATCAAAACAACAGATGTGCATTATAGCAATTAACTAAAGTTAGGGAGTGGGAAAGTTTGAGTGCCAATATGTATTTCAAGACAACTTTAAAAATGGCTCCAAACATTTTATGCTTTTTGCAATTTAGTCATTTTAATATTAGAAAAATCTTCGTGTAACTAAAAGTTCTTGAGTTGAAGAAATATTCTGTAGTTCAGCTCTTCCTTCAATTTGATTACTTAATTTTTATTTTGTTCAAGCAAAATAAATATAAAAATAATTTTAAAATAGTATGTATCATATCATTCCATTTAACATAACTCTATCTAGCTGTTCCCGTGTTTTCTCTGCTATATTTTAAAGCTTTCTGGAATATTATTAACCTTGAATATTTCTAGTTGATGAACTTATAAGTGATTTGTTGTTTTCTTTTCTCTTTCAGTATTGCTAGAATTAATTTTATTGACTTTGCACCTTTGTATAAAGACCTTGAAGGTCACATGCTGAAATCACCCTCTACTAAAACAATCTTCTAGAAATAATAGAGAAAATTTTAAAACATTACCATATACATAGCCATCCTCACAAACAAGAAAAGCATCTCTCCATGGATTAAAACCTATGAGGCATTTGTTCGTACAGGTAGGGAAGCGCTGGGTAAACTGCAGTATACACTGAGGCTGGCACCACCACAGGCCAGGACAACTATTGTCACAAAGCCAGGACAGACTCTCCCAACCAGAAAGTGTTGCCCTGAGGGGAGGCCAAATCCATTTTGCCCCCAGTTAGCGAGACCAAAGCCTAAAACTAAAATACCCATGCTTCAGGGTTCGTCGGTGTTGACACTGATGGCATTTTGGGCTGGACAGTCCTTTATTGTGAGAGGCTTCCCTACACACTGTAGGATGTTTAGCAGCGTTCTTGGCCCTACTCCCTAGAGGCCAGTAGCAACTCCACCAGCCTCCTTCCCCTACCCCAGGGTTGGATGTCAGTTGTGACAACCAAAAATATCTCCAGACATTGCCAAATGTCCCTTGGATGGCAAAATCACCGCCACCATACCTCTTTTGACTAAAAGAGTTTCCAGAACAGTAGCAGAATATATAAGTCAAGCATAACACATTATAGTCAAGATTCAGAACATCAAAGATTCTTTTTGATTCCTAAAAGAAAAAAGTTTAGAAAATCTACAAAAAGAAGAGTGAATTTGACAATAACTATTTCACTAGCAAGATTAGATGTAAGCAGAATACAGGCAGCAACATTGAACTTAGACTTCTCTCCCCATACTATCATTCAGAGTAGAGAGCAAAATAAATAGATTTTCTGACTGGAACAAGTGGGAATAATGTACTCACATTATTCATCTTCATGTAGGGATGGGCTATAAGTGATTTTTAAAAAACTTCCTACTTGTCCCAAGTCAGAAAACCTATTCATATAGGGATGCGCTATTAGCAAGCGTATATGAATAATGTACTCTAGCAAGAAAAAAAAATGAACTGAGAAGAAAGTAGTGGTTTTGAGAAGGAAAGGTGAACAAATAAATTAGTGAAACATAAGATTAAGTCTATACATATTATTTTCTAATTGCCTAGTATGTCAGACTACATCTAGTTAGAAAATAATGATGAAAGAAAAAGCCATATTGTAATTCCAACAAAAAGATAAAATAATTAAGAATAACTGCAACAAGAAAGTATAAGCTCTTCAGGAATAAAACTATACAATGAAACTAAAGAGCACAAATAAGAACTTAGATAAAAAGCAGACCACGTTTTTGGATAAGAAGATTAAAAATTATAAATATATCAATTTTCACTAACTTAATCTGTAAATTCAGTGTGATGCCAATAAAAATGCCAACAGATTTTCCCGAATAGCATTGAAATGATTTTAAAAGTTATTGAAGACCAAGCATGGTGGCTCAAGCCTGTAATCCCAGCACTTTGGGAGGCCGAGGCAGGTGGGTTGCCTGAGTCCAGGAGTCTGAGACCAGCCTGGGCAACATGGTAAAATCCTGTCTCTACTAAAGATGCAAAAAATTAGCTGGGTATGGTGGTGCACACCTGTAGTCCTAGCTACTTGGGAGGCTGAGGTGAGAGAGTCACCCGAGCCTGGGGAGGTTGAGGCTGTAGTGAGCCCAGATCACATTACTGCACTGCAGTCTGGGCAGCCAGAGTGAGATCCTGTCTC